AGGAGCGGGCTGGTTTCCTTCCTTGCTCGCTGAAAGGGCAGGCGGGGGGGAGGGGAGAGAGGAAGAAACCGCTCCGAGCCTTTCCTCGGTTGCTTTGGCTCCTCCCCCGGGTCGTGCAGCTGCCTGGGCCGAGCGCTTTTGAGGAAGCGGAGTTTAAAAAGGCTCCGAAGGACCATGTGAGGAGCAACACCGCCGACGGCGCTCGGAGCAGGAGCAGCAGCAGCAGAACAAGGAAAGCGGCGCCGGCTGGGAATTGGTGGTGCAACAGCCGCCGCTGCTGCTGCCGCCGCCTCCTCCTCCTCTTCCACCACCACCACCACCTCCCCCTCGGCCGGCATGGGTGCTTTGTCACGTACGGGGAGGCTCAGCAGAGCAGGAAAGGCTGGCCCAGCCTGAGGAGCCGTGCCGGCTCTAAGCTCTCGCCCGGCGGGCGCGCAAGAAAGAAGGGGCTCGGAGAGAGAGACGCCGGCGGCGGCGCGCTTGTCCTTTCGCTCCTCGGCCGCCTCCTGGCGGGCTGCTTCTTCGGCGAGGCTGCTGCTCCTTGGCCGGTCCCGCTCCCGAGGACATAACCAGGCGCCCCCCCTTGTCCCGGGTTTTGGCTCCTGGCCCGCCTGCCTGCAGTTTCCAGTTTAGAAAGACTTCTTGGAAAGGCGTCTGGAGGGGACGGGAGAAAGGAACCCGCTGGCTTTCCCCTCTCTTCCGTGCTGCTAATTAACTTGGAAAGAAGGCGTTTCCCGCACTTGAGCGTTCTCCCTTGGCAGCAGGAACCTTCCTCGGAGCATGTGAGGGTTTACTTGTGAGTAAAGACGCCTGAGGTCGGATTGCAACGCTGCTTTGCTTCTTCTCTGCACCTTGAGTTCGTAGGTTTGCCCCCATCCTGCCCTCTCAAATCTAGCCCCCCCCGTTTTATTTTATTTGTAAATTACTGTATTATTATTATTATTCGGTAGTTGGGTTCGACTTGAAAGGGAGAAAAGACGGATTAATTTCTCACAGGGTCTTCCTCGGAGCACCTTTCTAGACGTAGTTGCTCGGAAGTCAAGTCCCCCCCGGAGGGTTGCGAGACCGGCCGAGAAGTTGGATGCCTCCTGCCTGGTCTACGGAAGCGGCCGATCCCAGTCTCTTTTTGCCAAACAAAACTTGTTAGTTTTAGGGGTGCCCCGAGACTCTCCTTTTTGCTGCTGCAGACTAACTAACGCGGCTATCCTTTTGGACGCCTTGGGAAAAATAAAAGCTCTGTAGCCCTCGAGGAAATAAATCTTCGTGCCCCCTAGAAGTAATGCGCAGTGTTAGCCTTCAGCTCAGCTCAAGCAAATGTCTTTCCTTTTAATTTAATCAGAAAGAGTCCTCATAGTGAATGTGTTCTTGCACCTACTAATATGGATTAAAGAAATCCCATCACACATGTACAGTTCACTGGCAGAGTCGTTCTCTTCCCCCCCTCCAAAAAAAATTGAATACATTCTTATTTCTGGCATGATTTAGTTGTGTGTATGTTGGGGCAGAAAAGTGATAACTAACTTGTGTTGGATAATTAGCACCCTGTGTGTGAAATAAATGATCTTAGAATTAGATCCTTTAGGGAGGAGGCTGGGGGTGCTTGATTTTGAAAGCTCTAGGAAATGCAATGAATGGAACTTATATTTTAAGATGCAGGAGACTGTTCCTTTGGCTCTGAAGCTATCCCACTCATCTCCTGTGCCACACAGGCTGCGACACTCTTTAGGGATTTGTACAGGAAACCACCTTAAGTTGGCAGCCCCTCAGACTTTTTTGCTCTAGAAAGGGACTCCGTAGTTAACTGCAGCCTAGCTGGCAGGAGATTCTTCTGTGCCCTGTAAATTCTTTTTTTTTCTTCCCCTTAATTAGCTGGGACTGAACTCTTCATGACTGAGGAGGAGGTGCTTTTCTGTTCAGCTGGCAAAATGTCAAGTGAACGTATGTAATCTTCACTCTGATGTTGAAGATGAAGCTGTTTTAGACATCCTGTGTTACAGCTCAGTACATGCTGTTGTGTAAAGCAATGTTTCTTTTTTGAACAGTGCAGCTCTTGGAATAAGTTGTCCTGGAATTGTTTTGTGTTGCACAACAAAACTGTTAGCCGAGACAGTATCTATGAAATCAGCCTCATCTCTACCCCCCATTCCCAATTGCTAGCCTGCAGGAAATAATAACAAACAAAATAAAACCCCTATGCTGGTTGAGGAGGAAGAGGTTTTATCTTTCCGACCTGCCAGCTGGCTTATGCTGAGTGCAGGGTTTTTCAATTCTGGACAGCCAGAATTGGTTTCTGTACTGAGCACAGGGAAGAGAGACAGGCAGAAAAGAGCAGCGAAATCCTTCTCTTTGAGCTTGCTCATGTGTCTGCACACAATTTGCCTGTGTGCCGTTCCTTCTTTCCTTTCGTTAATGGTCAGCTGCTTAAACACAAAGCTGATTGAACTGCAGTATTTGAATCTCATCTTTATCTTTCCTACCGCAACTTGTGTAATTTTAGGGGATTTCTCTGTAGCTGAGTGTTCTTCAAGCCAGCATTGTCTCTGACTTTCTGTACAGATGCATCTCTTGATCTGCCATCAGAACACTTTGAAGATGTGAAGCAAGTCTGGCTTCTGTGTTCTCAGTAACCAATTGCAAACTCCACCCCCACCCCCCAATTTTGTGCTCCCTTTACTATTTCTCAAAGCCGCTTGGCAAACTTTTCCTTTCAATGGTTGCAGTAGAAGCATTGGGCCTGCAGGGGGCAGGCAAGGCAGGCTGGCAAGGGGGTTGGCTGTGTCATTTTTTGTCAGGAAGGAGTGGTGGGGGCGGCGGCAGCTGAGTTCTTGGCCAGTGATTCAGACCCAATGACTGGCAGTATGTGGGAATGTGAAACTACAAAACGGCTCAGAAAGAGGGAGTGACTAGGCACTTAGCTGAAGCCGCGAAGGGGCGTGCGCCATGAGTGATGGGAACAGGAACACCATCTCTCAGGAATCTGTCCAGGCAGAAACTGTTTCAAACAGTTTCACATTCCCACATGCTCTTAGTCTTCTCCTCTGAGTTGCACATGGAACTTTGTAATGAATGGGGTAAAATGCCATCTTTGTGAGCGAAGGTCTTTCTGTAAGAAGAGGATGTAAGTAGCATTTTGGGGGATGATCTAACTGTCGTGGAACATGTATTTATTCAATAGGTAGGAGTCGGGGGGGGGAGGGACAGGAAGGAACAATGTAATCCTCAAATGCATCCACATGAACTTAAAGAAATCCTGTTTGAACAAAAGGGGCGATCTGAGAAAGTGTGTGTGAGAGAGGGGGAAGGAGAGGAAGGAAGGAAGTAAAGGGTGGAGGGAGGAATGATACATTTATTTGAGGAATTAAAGCCTTGTATTTTGTTTTTGGTGTCTGATGATGCCTACAGAGACAGTTAAGGTAGTGGCGGAGCAGAGGGAGAGCGTTGCTTTCTGAGAATCCTGTTTTGTGTCAGCTGTGAGCAAATTAAAGATTAACGACCGTGTTTTCCCGCTTCTTGCCTTAGATTGGATCTTGTGAATTGCTGGGAATTTGGAAGGAGACTCTGAGGAAGAAAGAAGGGGTGAGAGGTAGAGGCGGAATCCAAAAGGGATGGAAACCGAACTAGCTCCACCTTGCATCGTTCAGCAGACCCACTGCCCACAAATGCAGGATCCTACTCCGGCAGAGGTCTTTCCCCCGCCTGTGCAGGTTCCCAAAAAAATACCACCAATCAAGCCTTGCTTTAAGAAGAAGCCACAAGTGCAAAAGAGACTGGATACGGAAGCGCTGCGCGCTTTACGGCCCATCTTTACTAGTTTGCTTGGTGCTGGCACCTTGGATGGAATCTTTGTGCCCAGGGGACAGAGCCGTGGCCATAGTAACTTGTGCGAACCTGTTGTGAAAAAAAATCTGGCGGCGCCCGTTCCATGCCCGCAACCAGACAACAATGGACCAGTGCTGGTGGCAGGAGCCTCGAGCGTCCAGGGACAGATATCCGATAGCCATCCTGAGCAGGAGGCCCAGCCTGGTGAACAGGGCTTCCCCTCTGTTACCTCTCCTAACGAGCCATTCCAGGACCGCTCCTTGCATGCTGCCTCCAGTGATGCTGCTGCCTTTCTTTCATGCCCTGACAAGATACTTGAAGGTTACCCTCCTGCTGCAGTGCTCCAGGACAACAATAGCAGCACCTGCCTAGTCCAGAGTAACACAAACCCAAGTGATATGTTTGGGACTGGCCTTTTCCAGAACAAAAGTGAGGAGGCTTCGCTTGATCTTGTGTTTGAACTGCTGAACCAGCTGCAGTATCACACTCACCAGAAGGACGGGATTGACATCTGTGTGGATTTCCTGCAAGGCATGTGCCTCTATGGAAGCGATTGCCCCAAGCATCACACTGTTTTGCCCTATCATTGGCAGGTCAGGAGGACTGCGACCCAAATGTGGCAGAGCGTGACTACTGACTCACAAGAGCATCTGGAACGACTGTATTGCAATCCTGACAATGACAAGGTCAAAATAAGATACCGGTGAGTCATAAGCACATTGCTGTACTTCAGATGGAACTAAGCATAAGTAGCTTTGAGAGAAGTCTCATTGAGTCTGAAAAACATTATCTCATCAACATATCTTTTGCACAGTTTTTCTGCTCTTAAAAATTATTGAGTGTTTTTTGTTTAATGTAATTTAACAGGTTTTCATGTCAGACTCTCCTTCGTGCTTTTAAAGCATCTGTGGGGCCTTCAGTGATTTTGGCTTTTCAATTAACAGTTCAATTAATGATCTGAACTGAAGGTTGCAGCAATGAGTAGGTACAGGTTGGCCTAACCACCCCACTGGTCCTAGTCAGTATGTTGAGTTTTGTGCCCAGTAAAGGTTATTTAGCTACTACCTAGGTTAAAGGCAGATGGCCAGTTGCCACCATAGTTGTGTGTTATTCAAGGATTTTCAGTGTATCCAGCCTAGACCCTCTCATACCTTAATGGAAACTATCTACATAAGTACAGGGGTGTTTTAAACCTTTATCTTGGAGTGGGTGTTCTGAAGGCAAAAACTTACAGCAGGTTGGTCCACAAGGGTAAGGTGATTAATAGAGTAAAACAAATAGGGAACAGCTGTTGCCCTGTTGGATGAGATCTGTGTTGTGTACAGCATCCTGTTTCCCATTTATTTGTACAAAAGCTTGCCTCTTGCTGTCCTGGGGTTTGCACGCAGAACAGTTTGCAAAGGCAGGCAACATCAGTTAGTAGAAGGGATATAAATTTTGCAAAACTATAATAGATTAATAATAGGAGTGCAGCATGTGATGAAACACAAGAATCAGATGTCAAGCATAAGGAGAAATCTATGAAATAATAATGTGGTGAAATAAATCAAAGCAAATGCCTTAAAGCAAGAGATTCCCAAATTTTGATGTAACCTCTGAGAAGTTCCTTTATCTTCTCTCAGTCAGATGGCCTCTGGGAAGCCCATAAACAGCCCATGATATAATAACCCTCTCCTGCTGTTTCTTCCTGCTGGTTGAAACATAAGTCTGTATAAAGGCATTACAATGCTACCTATTTTATTTATAACGAAGTGTTTGTTGATGTGGCACATGTGTTTACCGCAGTACTAAAAGACAGCAATTCTAGAAAAGTGCTTTTTAGTGGTGTGAACAAGAAGCTGTGTAAACAGGACTGGACTTTCATACTAGCTCCTGACTAATCTAGAATAACTGTATCATGTGATGTCTATATTATCGCTGCTAGAATGGATTATTAAGCTCTTGGCGTTGGAATGAGCATAGAGAAGAATATTCACAATTCTTTTCAGTACTGCTTGTTTATATGATGGGATGACTGGGAGGAGCTGGGGTGGACTTTGTGCTTGCTTAATCTAGAAGCCTGCACGCTATTCAGTTGATTCCAAAGATTATCAGCTGTTAGTGTTATAAAGTATTCCATCTTCTCTCCCCCTTCCATCCCACATTCCTCACTGAGAATTCATGATCAGAGCAAACAATTCCTGTGAATCCTTGAGGACATCCAGGCAGCGGTTTGCTTGATTTTCTTACTCTATTACCAAGGTTGCCCCTTAATGCAGAGATGAGTGAATTTTGGTGTTCAATTTTCCATCCTAGATTCTACCCTGGACTGAACTAACTAGTCATGAAAAAGGGAAGTGGACTCAGGACTTAACTTCTAGTTTTTTAAAAAAACCTGTTGGGGGAGGAGCAAAACCAAGAGCATGTGGTGTTTCCAGTGTTTTGTTTTCAAGGTGAACCACATGTTTATTCTTTTTTTTCAGGCTTTTTTTGGGGGGTAGGTGGGCGGGCAAGGGAGGGCTACAGGTATCCCATCCCTGTTTTAATCTCTACAACTGTGTGCAATTCATACTTTGTATCAGTAGCCAAGGTACTAGTCTCAAAGGCATGTGTTGAATATCCCCTGGGAGCAAGCATCCCTTTTGGGTCTAGCTACTGTGATAATCATTTTGGAAGAAGGGTATGCAGAGAATGGAATCTAAATGTTGCTTGGATTCTTGGTTTTTTTGTGTGTGTGTCAGTTGTTGCACACAATGGGAGAAAATGTCAGCATAAGCAGTTGCCCAGATCTTACACAGCTGAAAAAAACCATGGAATGTCTATGTTTCCCTAGCCAGGCAGCCAAGGGTGCTGAAAGAAATCCCTTGAAACTAAGCAAGTGTCTAATAAGTCTGAGCTCCCATCTTCTCCTCTGCTACTTCTGGCTCTGTGTCAAAATGCCATTGCTGTGTGTTTTGATTACTGCGTTTGTTTATAAGCTTAATATCTTGAGGGGTGAACCCTTGCACAGAACAGTTTGCTGGATTTGACTTGGATGCCTGTAGGTAGATATTTTAACATCCTTTAAAAACTATTTATTCAGCATTTTGCACTTCTATAGCATTCAGCAGTTGCCTGAAGCAAATAATACTGATAGCAGAGGAGAACTCATCCTACAGTCAGCCAGACTAAGCTCAGGGCATCTTGCCATACAGAGTAGTCACACACAAGATTTTTATGAGCCATCCTCTGGTATTCCCTGTGAAATCACGCAAGGCTGTTGGGCCATACCGTCTGGATTTCATATTCCCTCCTTGGTACCTTGAAAACGCCCTGAATAACTTCCCGTGTTGCTTGTGAAGTTGAATGAGTCCTGCAGGCACAACTCAGAATTCCAGATTCTGACACATGCTGCTAATAGGAAGTAGTGAAGGAAACCCTGCGGTACTTGTGCTGATGAGGATGGAGCAAATAGCAAGGTTCAAGTTGTAACAGTGAGGACTTGGAAAGCAGGAGGTGGGGTAAAGAGGAATATCCAATAGCAGGAACAGCTGGGATATGTTACCTATTTTCCTTTGTGACATTAGAGAAAAACTGAAATGAAGTTCTTTCTGGGGTGACTTGGATCTGAGGGATCCATCAGCATACATGTTATAAAATAATGAGACTAGCAAGTCTCTTCAGTTCCCTGGTCCCATGGCTTCAGCCATTACAGTGCTAATCCATGTACTGTAATGGTTCAAGTAGCATCTTTGTGAGCACCTGGGAAATCTCTTCTAGAGTTACAGTTCTGTTTAAAATCTTGAGTGGGGGGAGCTGGAGGAAGAGATCTGAAACATGCATGTTTTCTGGCAATTGTGCTAATATTTCACATGAAAGTTCATTCTATATTCAAGCAGGGCGGCTTTTATTTTTATTTTTTAAGTCACTATTTTGGATATAATGCTCTTTCAGATGTTAAGGGCCAGTTTTGTGATTATCTAGAGGTTTTTTGGGCCACCATGGTTAGGGAACCAGATCACAGCTCCAGAAATTGCATTTAGTAAATTTGTATACTGAAAGAAATTTCTTATCAGGAAGTGCATGGAAGATACATGTGGGGAAGTTCAGGTTGTCATGATGTTCCATGATATGTCTATGCAGCATTATGAAGGCTAAGGTTTAGACATTGTGCATGAGAAACAGGTCAACACAGGTAAAATAAATAATGACATGTAGTTTTTTTATGTGAAATTGAGATCTTGAAAGAGAAACTGAAATGTTTCAAGTGAAGCAGTCTGCATTTATTGATCTTAACTAGTCACCATGTAATTTTATGATTTCAAACAACAGCCTGTGTCTTAGAATCTTAATTTTCTGACTGTTTTTATTGGTTAAAAACTGTCTCTTGGAATTATTATCAGAACATCTGCATAAAATTTGAATTAGTCATCATTGCTGAAATCCAGCAGCATAATTTTTGCTGTGTAATCATCATCATTATGCAGTGTAAGTTGCAGCACTGGACTTCAGACAGTATATTTTAAAACTTTGGTAAATGCATATCCCTTACAGTAGCCCTGTGAACTGGGATGGGCAAACAGTGTGGTTGTTCCAAAGTTACAGACTAAACCCACACCACGGTGGACCTTTTCTAACACACAATATGGTAGCTACATCTCTTTATCTCAGTTACAGAAACTGGATGTATAGTAAAGAACAAGAATAATGAACTTGGATTTAGTGGATGCTGGCGTAGTAGAAGGTTCTCCCCCCCTTACTTTATAGTAATTTTAAGGTAGAGGAATCTGTGTATGCCAAAATAAACCAATTTAAACAAACTATAAAATACATATGAGTACAAACATATGAGGGGAGGAGATGTTTGTGGCATATACTGATGTGATGCCTCCACATCTTCTCATTCAGGGGTCCTGATCCAGAATCTGTCCTTTGTGCTGATTGTGTGGTGAAAGAAAAGCAGTGGCTGATAACTTACACTGAAGTATTGTTTAATTTGGCGCAACTATAGGCAAGCAGGCAGGTGGCCTGATGATGCCAGGTTGTGTGCCCTAATTGCCCTCATAGAGTTAATTAAGCCAGGTTTTAAAAGAATCCTGAAAGGACCAATTGTGTGTGTGTATAAGCTTAAGTTCAAGAAATGCTTGTGTATTGATTTGTCTCAATAAGGTAGCATGCCTGAGTATTGTCTTCTTGTAAATTGAGAACAGGGTGGATTCAATTTGAATCAAATTGATTTAAATAAAACATTTGGGGTTTTTAAATGATTTAAATAAAAAGTCATTTAAAAATTTTAAATTGTGATTTCATTCAATTTTATTTTTTAAAAAATTCTTTGATTCCTATCCTTATTGGGAGCCTGAGATGCCTCCTCAGTGTGTTTTTCCTCTCTTTCAAGGACTAAGCTGCTCCCAAATTTGTGTCACCCTCTGTAGTCCTGATGTTGAGGGTGTAAAGATTTTGATAACAGTAATTTGGGGCGATTCCTCATAAAATTTGTCTGCTCCTGTTTGTTTTCCCCATGAGACTAACAGGGTGGATTCAATTTGAATCAAATTGATTTAAATAAAACATTTGGGGTTTTTTAATGATTTAAATAAAAAGTCATTTTAAAATTTTAAATTGTGATTTCATTCAATTTTATTTTTTAAAAAAATCTTTGATTCCTATCCTTATTGAGAGCCTGAGATGCCTCCTCAGTGTGTTTTTCCTCTATTTCAAGGACTAAGCTGCTCCAAAATTTGT